GGGATGGCGATTATCGAGAGAACCTCTAGGGCGTTGCTGCGCAGAAGGGCAGCGCGAGCCGTCTATTTTTTCCAGTGGCCCGGGCCGCGCCGCCCCTCGCGCCGCTGCGTCCTCCCCGACCCCCCGGGTCCCCTTGGATCTCGGACAGCCGCGAGCGCCCCCAGCCCCGCACGCGCCCTCTCCGGCAGCTTTGCGGCCGGCCCCGGCAGGCGGCCGCGGCTGTGCAGCCCCACCATGCGCGGCCTCGCCCCAGCAGCAGCCCCAAGGATCCCGCAAGAGGAGTGATGCTCGGCGCATCGCCCTGACAGATCAGGGACAAACGCAAAAGCCCCCTCACCTCGCTCAACTCCTTGATCAGCTGCTGCAGCGCCGGCACGTCGCACCGCTCCCCGTCGCTCACCACCAGCACCGGCGCCGCCAGCGGCGCGGCTGCACCGGCGCGGGCCCCGCCGGCCTCCTTGCGCGGCCGGAGCCGGCGTGCCTCCGCCGCAAGAGCGGGCTTCTTGCGCTTGGTGGGGGCTGCCGCGATAGGCGCGATGCGGGAGCGGCGTGATGCAACAGCCGGCGTGAGGACGACTGTTGTTCGAGCGCCTCAGCAGGCCGGGCATTGCGCAACCGCCGAGCAACATACAGAGATGTCGCAGACTCGGCCCGCCTGTCCCCACGTGTCTGCAAGCACTCTGTGAGCGCCTCTCGCCCTGCCGCTCACCTGCGCCGCAGCGCTCCGCAATCTCGTCCGCCCACCACGCCACGAGCGCCGCCACGTCGTCCGCGGGCGTGGGCGCGCCGAGGAACTGGCGGAGTGCCGCGTGCAGCAGCGGCGCCGGGCTGCCGTTCGACAGGTCGCGGGCGTTTGCCAGCGCCACGGGGTGGCCCTGTGCGTGGGGCGCGCGATAGGGCGTGCATGCGGCAGGCGGTAATTAGGCGGGCCGCAGGAGTGCGACGGGTGGGCGGAGATTATTGCGGGGCTGCTGAATTGCTTTGCAGGTTCAGAAAGGACATTGCCAGAAGGGGGCATTGCCACACGGGGACATTGACCAGGAGGGCGCGGCGCGAGCTGCGCATGAAAGGCCGCAGGGGCGCCAGGCACGTGCAGCACGGGCAGCAGCTGCAGAGTATGCCAGCGAGGCGCGCGCCGCGCACCCGCTGCCGCAGGTAGTGCGCCAGGTCGGGGCACGTGTGCGCGTGGTCCGCGCTGGCGCCAACGGACAGCAGCACCACAGGCACCTCCGCATCACTGCTCCCTGTCCCCGCTGCCGGCGGCGCGACGCCGCTGCCGCCGCTGCCGCTGCCGCTGCCGCCGCCGCCCGTGCCGGCCGAGGCGGGGTCGGCGCCGCCGCCGGGCCGCCAGGTGGCGGCGGCGTGGCGGTGGATTTGCTCGAACACGGGGGTCACCAGGCGCAGCTTCACGGCCTGTGATGGGAGCAGAAGGGGTCGGATGGGCGTAATGAGGTGTTGACCGGAGTTCAGGGCGCCGTGTGCGAGTGCGTGAACGGCAGCGTGTTGTTCGCAGAGCCGCTGGGGGCCCCACACATGCACACTGGCAGCGCGTTCGGCCCCTTGATGGCATGAGCGCCCCAGCAAAGGCTGTGCTGCGGCCCCACCGAGAGGGCCTCTTGGTTCTGCGCCCACGCGGCCTCGTACGCCGCCAACCGTAGCCGCTGCGTATCTTCATCCCCATCGAAAGCACTCTGGTCGTGCCCTGTGGTCAGTCACAAGCACGGGCAGGAGCGCACCGTGGTCCAGCAGAGCTTGGCATGCAGCAGGGTGCCAAGCGCAGTAAAGTGAGCAGCAACATGGCACCGCGTGCAGCGGCTGTGGCTCACGTCTAGCAGCGTCCTCCAGCTCGGTATGAAGCTTGCTGGTCCTCTCCGTGGGCCTCGCAGGGAGCTCCCTGAGCACCTGGAACGCGCTGGAGACATTCTCTTCCGCAGTGTTTGCAATCCACTCAGCCATCGTGCTCTCTCAATATAGCTAGGGTTCAACTCATATCCATTGCCGCGGATCCAGCGGCGTCATTGACGGCAAGGCAGTGTTCGAGTGTTCCCGCCAGATCACACTATCGCAATGTGCCTATTGTGAGCTTTACAGAAGATATCCTGGCTCTTAATCGGCGCGAGACTCCAGCGAGCATTGCCAGGATCATGGCAGGGACGCAATTTCGATTTCAAGTGACACCGGGTGGGTGTTATCGCCAGGACCCAGGCGCGCCGAGAGCCCGACGCGCTGTGTCGCACCGTATAGATAAACTCTATTGTAGCACGCATGTGGTGACGAGGGCCGTACGTTGATGCTCGTGTCCGGCAGGGGGCGTTCCGAATGCTGGCCAGCCCGCGATTGATCGGCGTCAGAGTGTATGTACAATATGGTACTGTACCATGTCGTGTAGTATATTCATACATTATATCTTCAAAGGTTGACAACATGGTGTCTGACACGCCGGGGCAGATCACCGAACGGGAGCAGTTCCGGCAGGATATCGACGCCCAGCGCAGGATTGCGAATCCGATAGGGGCAGGATTGTACGCCTACAGAACGATTCTTGGCTTTGTGGGTGAGAGAGAAGGCTTGCCGGACGTGTCGCCAGCAGAGGAGCACATGCTGCGCACGCAGGCCCGCCGCGCCGCCGCCTCGGCCAGGCGGACGGACGAGGAAAAGGCGAGGCTCCTGCAGGTGAATGCGCTGCATCCGGGCTCGTGTATTGTGGCAGACCTGGGGGACACGGAGATAGGCTGTCTTCTCCGGATGGGGCTCACCGCCCGCCAGGGCTCATGATTAGATAAATATCTCGGTGCAAGTTGACAAGGCGGTTCGCCCCGAGCACAGCCCTTCCCGCGCGGGCCACAGGTGGAGCGGATCGACCCGCTGCTCGCGAGGAGATTCTGGGAGGCGCGCGCGGCTGTTGGGGCGGCGGGGGGCTCCGCGCAGGTGCGACGACACTGGCTGGGCAGGCAGGCTCGATCGTCGTCGCGCCCGCCGCCAACAGCGTCTCTTTTCGCACAAGCGACACCGTACCAGCGCGCGCGCCGTTGACATCCAGTGTTGATTCCAATCACTTGAGCCATAGCTACCATCCGCTTGCTGGTTGCTTGCTGTGTTGCTTCCTTTCAGTCCTATGCATGGTGTGCACTTTGCATGCCCTCAAAAGGGAGCCTGTGTGGTTACCAACAAAGCGGTGGCTGTCGGGAATTCGACGGAACCCAACTTGCTTGTCGCCACGCATGCAATTGTCCAGGTGGTGACGAAGCCAGCCACGGCACAGAACATGCAATGAGTCACCCCGCGCGAAATGTGAGGACGTCAAGGCCGTGCTTGTGGAGCGATGACGGTGGAAGGGATGCGGGCGGGCAGGAATACCCCACTTGCTTTGTGCACACCGCTGCATGCCACATTTGCCGCATGGGTGTCTACAGTGGTGGGCTCCTCCAGTCACCACAGGGACACGCCGTGCTCCTCACTGCATGCATGCGACTTTAGTGATGTCTCTTGACAACTACATGCTTGGAGGCAAATTTGTAGATGCCTTTTTGAATACGCACGCTTTGATGAAATATTTGCAGGCAATGTCCCCCTTGATGCTTGTGGGTGGGGGTCGGGCTGTGGCCGCACGAGCTTGCCCTGCAGAGGGCGACACTTGCTGTCCGAGTGCAGGGCGCATCGTGCTTTCACCTCTTCAGTACATGTGAGCAGGATTTAAGCACATGCAAGCACATGTACAGCTTGTTTACGAGTGCACTCGTCAATGAGAAAGTTCATGCCAGACGAAACAGCGTTTGTGTGCACCACCAGCAGCACCAGTCACAGGGGGCTGGGGCCGCAGTGAATCACTATCAAATTCTATGAGAACTCCATTCCTTACCTGGCATTGGATCCTGCGAAATGAGCAAATTCTTCCAGGACGCGACTCGGGCGGGTGACACCTGTGTCTTGGGTGACTTCAAATGCAGGCGCTGGTACATGATGTCAATGATTGATTTGATCACGTGTTTGGGCCGCCTGCTAGAGCTCATGTGCACCGCTTAGATCAACGCCGTCCGCCGGTGCACCTGCAGCCAAAGCAGCAGCAATGAGTGCTCCACACACGCTGGCTCGGAACGCCCTGTGGGAGGTCCGGCTCTTGTTCCTCATGCGCGTGCTGCGCATGTGGGCGTTCGGATCCACCGGCGTGATACTCGCGGTCTACCTGCATGCCGTCGGCCTGTCGGACGACCGCATTGGGCTGCTGCTGTCGCTCACGCTGGTCGGAGACGCGGCGCTGTCCCTGCTGCTGACAGGCAAGTACTGTTGGTATCAAATCTCGCACCACATGTAAACCAAAGCTCGTTATGACGGCGCCGCAACTCCTGCTTGGGGTCGATGGAGGGGCCAGTGACGGCGAAAGCAGCAGCCAATGTCGGTAGGGCTGGTCGCCACCATGTGGTGGAAAGCACAGTGCAGCACCACCCAGCGATCGGCCGTCCACCCTTGTAGGAGTGGCCGAGCGGCTCGGCAAGTGGAACACGCAGCTCCTTGGATGCATACTGCTGGCTGGCTCGGCACTGGTGTTTGCCAGCCCGCTTTGCGCCGGGTCGTTCTGGCTGCTGACCGCTGCGGCGACTGTCGGGGTGCTGTCCCCAAGCGGGAACGAGGTCGGCCCTTTCATGGTGAGTAATCCTGCTGCTGTCCGGAATATAAATCAACTTTGCTTGCAGCTCCACTGCCGGGCAGGGGGAGGTTGTCGTGTAGTAGAAAAACGAGGCAGCAGCACCTGCGCCGGGTCTCAGCCACAACCTCGATGCAGCAGCATTCAAATGCCCTCCTGCCTTTCCCAGGCGCTGGAGCAGTCCATGCTGGCACAGCTGCTGCCGCCCTCTGGACTGGTCATGGCCTTCAGTTGGTGCGGTGTCGTGGCAGCACACAGCGACGGCAACACGCAAACCAGCTGTCCCCCCACCAGCAAAACGCCGCCTTGCAACGCCCATATTCGTCTGCAAGGTTGCTGTGAATACTGCGCCGTGTCGTCTGATTGTGGAGCCTGTGCCACCTGGCAGCCACACTGCAACATGTTGCTCCAGCCTACTGCCTCTCAGGATGCTGACGACTCCCATGTCAATAACCCCCCACGGGCAGGTACAACCTGGTCGGTTATCTCGCAACCGCTCTCGGTGCTGCAGAGGCCGGCTTCCTTGTTGACTGGCTCCAAAACCAGCGGGGCCTCTCCCTCGCCGATGGGTGCCGCGCGGTGTTCCTCCAGGCGGCGGCGGTCGCCGCAGCCCTGACCGCGATCGCCGCTGGCTTCCTCCTCTGCGGCAGGGAGGCGGCGGAGCAAGGCAGCGGTGCTCGCGGCGGCGGCGAGGCGTCGCGGGGGTCTGGGGAAGACGGCGGCGACAGCGAAGAGGCGGAGGAGAGGCGGCCGCTGCTTGTGCAGGTGGAAGATGCAGAGGACAGCAGCGATCTGGCGTCAGATGCGGCGCCGCAGGAAGGCAGCGGCGGCGGCGAGGGCGGGGGCGTCGCGGCGGCAGCGCCCCGGGTGCACTCGCGGGGCGTGCTCTTACGGCTGGGCGTCCTCTTCTCCCTGGACGCTTTCGCGGGCTCCCTGGTCACCGGTGAGGCGGCCGCGCGGGGCCGGCCGGGCCGCGCCGTCTTGCACCCGTCTTTGGCGACCGTCTTGCGCCCGCCACTGCCCCAGGCTATCGGCAGTGTTGGCTTGCATGTGCTCTCCAGCCTCTGCGGCATTGCAGACCCACAGCCAGACGCATCGGTCAACCGGTCAAACAGCGCAGCGTGAACAAGGGCACGGCAGTCGCTCCAGCACCTGCAACCTCCTCGTTGAATTCCCGACCAGCTGGTGCGCCTGACGTGAAAACGCTTGCCCCGCGCACCCCCTCACCAGGCACCTTGGTTGCCTACTATTTCAGCATCACCTACCCTGGTGTATCGACAGTTTTTTTGGGCAACATGCTCCTGGGCTGCAACGTCATCGCGGGCATCTCATCCCTCTTCTCAGCGTGAGCAGCGCACGGCGTGCGGGTTCAAGCGCGATGTGTTACAAACACACAAGTGGCCAAGGGCGTATGCACATACATGGCCGCAAGATGTGCATGTGACGTTTGACTCGTGCTTTTATATGCAAGTGAGCGTTGCATGCAACCCGCATGCTCATGCGGTGCCCACAGACCTTCCCAAACGCCTGCTCCTCAGCAATAGTCATTGGCCCCTCGACTGTCTCCTTTGCACGCAGGCGCCTGGCCTCCGCCATCGGCCTGGTCAACACGATGGTGTTCACCCACGCGCCAAGCAACATCTTCACGGCGCTAGTCCCCGTCATGCCAAACCAGTGGTCGGCGATGGCCATGCTCTTTGCCAGGTGCGAGCATTGGTGGGGGCCTGGTGCCCTTGCCTGGCTGCCAGCAGCAAGCAGACTGGCAAGGGGAGCCGGCATTTTCTGAATTGCTGAGCTTGCAATGTACACCGCATGTGCTTGGGCACAGTTGTATGTGTTGGAAAGAGCCTGGCGCAAGCATTGTAAGTACGGTTGTATTGTTGCACCGCTGTGTGTTCATCCACCACCAACCGCCACCCATCTCGTGCAACACAGGTTTTCAATCTCTCAGATGGATGTGGCGCCGAGACAGACACTCATTGCAGGTACGGTGACACTATCGGGTCTGCTGTCTGCAGCAAGACAACTTGCAACTGACGCGTGGCCGCTGGCGTGTCAACCGCCTGCTGCAATGCGAAATGCCTCTCCCAGCTGCTCAGCAGAGCTGGCCGGTGGGCATCCATCGGGGTGGGTGCGATTTTTCTGTTAGAGCCCCTTTCAACCCTCAACGCCTCAACGCGACTCCGTGAAACGCAGGCATGGTGCGCCCTGACGAGCGCACCGCGCTGATGGGCGCAGTAAACGTCGCCCGCAGCATCGCGTGCAGCTTCGGGCCCTTGGTCACAGGCGCCCTCGCGGGCGGCGGCCAGTGGGCGTGGGCGTTCTACCTGTGTGGGGGCCTGAAGCTGACGTATGATGGGTTGCTGCTGCTGACCGCCCGCCACTTGAAGGTGGACGCTTGAGCCACTGTTTATGCCACCTGCCCTGGAAAGTGCAGCAACCACTGACTTACGCGCGTAGTCGTGATCTGCTTATGCAGATCCTTGTGATCTGCACAAACAATTTTGCAGGACAGATTACAAGAATATGTAAAAGAATTACAGGTTGGCACGGGAATATCAGCACTGCAATATACACATCACCCCTATCGGTTGCAGAGCCTGCGTAATATGTCAACCCAACTCAAGTGCAGCGATCAAAACAAAGAATGGCCAAGGTCCCGCCATAACTCTGCAGCACATTTATTATCCCGCCATCGCCCCAGTGGCCAACACAGCAGGCGTCGCTTTGGTCTTCACTTGACTCCTTGCAGCGTTTTTGGTGGCCGACTTTGGCCGCACCCGTCTGCTGCGCATGTCTCGCTCGGCATCCACGTGGAGCAGCGCGGTGTGCACATGACACAATGGCTCCTCAACGGCATGCGCATGCCTTGAGAATGTGTGGTCATCAGCGCACGCCGCATCATCCCCACAGCGCGATTACCGCCATGCCGGCCACGCCCAGGACCAGCGCGGCGGCCAGCGCGGCGGCCAGCTGCGGCCTGACCAGCAAGTCGTGCCTGCTGGCCTCCTCCCCGATGAGCTGGAACATACCTGCGCGGAATAGTGGTGCGGTCGTGCGGCAAGCTTGGGTAGGCGGGTCATTGTCAGTGGTTTCAAAGGTCTTGCTAGGCACGGGTCAGCCAAAACGACCGCAGGGATGCTGCAAGGTGAGGGCCCAAAACAAGCCGGGAAAGGCATCCGTTACCGCCACCTGACAGCGGCAACTGCGCGTTGAACTCACCTATGTGCAGCAGCAGGCCTGCGGAGAAGGCGGAGAGGGCGCCTTGGACGCCGGCCGCCACGGGTGATGACGGATCATACGAGGCGGCGACTGCGATGCCGATTGCGATGCCAATGGGCATCGTGAGGCTGTAGACGACCAACTAAGATTTGCGAGGTTTGTGGGTTGGGTTTTGGGGCAAGGTTTGTGGGGGGTTTGTCAGAGGTCGTCATGTATCAGGGCCAGGGCGGGGCGATGAGTGCAGGATTGTTTTGCTGCGTGCCGTCATGAAGGAATTCAAGCGCGCAAACCACCCCCGCAGCAGCTGGGCTGCCGGCAGCGCAGCCTCCCAAGATCGGCGCAGGGACGTGCTTGTTGCTGTGTAGAAACAGCAAACAAGCACCAGGGCCCGGCTCACCATCAGGATTTTCTTGGCCATCGGGATTAGGGCAGCTGCCAGGACCGCACCCAAAGCGACAGCTTCCAGGGCCTGTGCGCGAGCGGAGCGGACGGGGAAGGCAGGCAGGCCGAGTGTGGGGGAGGGGGCAGTAGTATTCATGGGCACAGGGGGCCACAGTACACAGAATTGTGACGCTCTGAGCTGCGCGTCCACAAACCAAGGCGCGACCTGCACCTCTGTGCGCGGCCAACAACGGCGGCAGGGCAAGCCGTTGTTGATTGCGGCGCCCACCTGGTGGAACACCATCGCGATGATCAGAGGCGGAAGGGCGGCCGTGTTGTCCACCTGTGTGCAACGCAGCGGCCTCAGTCAGTGGCTGCCATCACTCATATAGGCAAGGCGGGCTCCATTCTTGGCAAAGACGAGCTGTGGCAAAGGAGCTATCATTTGCTTCTTGCAGTCCAAGGCAGTGCCTGGGGCACATGTCAAGCATAAGTAGACATGAGAGTCTCAGCCGCCAAGGAAACCCTGTAGCCTGGAGCCCACCATGGTGCCTATTCCAATTCCGATGATCACACTGTGGAAGACGCAGCCCGCCTCGAGGGTATAGCAGGCGACGAGCTGGCGCAGCGTCGCGATCGGGTGGCCAGCCGAGTGGTGGTGGCTGTGCAGCAGCGGCGCCGCGTGCCCCACCACGCCCGCCGCCGTCGCGGTCGCGGCGGCGCAGCCGCGGCAGCCGTCCTCGGCATTTGCCGCCGCCCCCTCGCCGCCAGCGTCGGCGGGCGCGGCCGCTTCGCTGTCGAGCGCTGCCGCTTTTTCGGTGATTGCAGCAGGTGGCGGCGCGCGCGAGAGCCGGACAGCGGCACGCAGCTGGCTCTTGAAGGGCTCGGGCGCGAGCAGGGACGTGACTGAGTAATCGATGGCAAGGAGGGTGAGGATGCCGGCTATGGCCAGGACGGCGCCGAGGGGGAATGGGGTGAGGACCTCCAGTGACTCGGAGGCCTCTGGGAGCACGTGGATCTGCGGCGGTGGTCGGCGCGTGCGGAGTCGAAGGAGCAGTCAGGTCGGGTTTGTGTGCATGTGTGGAGCGTCGTCGGTCCAGAGGGAGGGGCGCCGAGCGGGCAGTTTTGGGCGGGGGCTGTGAGCAAGCGATTCGAGCTACCACCGGGTGTCAAAGGAGGGGGTTCAACGCGGAGGGCGGCGCACCAAGGCGAGCGACAGGATGACGCCGCCGCCGAAGGCGCGCGCCAGGCGCGCGGGCGCGGCGTCGGAGGCCCTGAACTGGCGCAGCAGGATGGGGGGCAGGCCGCCGAGGAGGCCGGCGGCGAGGATTGCGAAGATGGCCCCCACGCGGAGCGCCATGCTCAATGGGAGGCCGTGGCCGTCATGATGGTCGTGGTCGTCGTGCGGGTGGTCGCTGTTGGGCGCAAAAGTGGCGGCGGCTAGGCCGCCGGTCGCGGAATGCAGGAGCGACCGCATGGTGTGTTACGGAGGCCGAGCGCCGGAAAGAAAGCAACTGGAGACAATGAAGACAGAAGAGCGATTCCGCCACAAGCATTCGGTATGATCGACCATCCTGCGCAACATACGAGTACGACGGTGCATAGAGGGGCCGGCAAGGGCACTGATGTGCACTGCAGGACGCGAGCAGCACAAGCACGTGGGACCGGGTGTCTGACGAGCGGGTATTTTCGAAATAAAGTGGATATTGGACGTATCCTTGCTTTCGCAGACTCCCTTGCTTTGGGTCACCAGGCAATATCTTGGACTTCCGGCCGTGAGATCGCTCCACGATGCGGCTGCATCTAGACGACCGTCATGCGTGAAGATTGCGTGGAGAGCTCCTAGGCCAGCAATCCATCTGCTTCTCGCGAAGTGGTGTGGGCAAATTCGGATCGCTTTCGAGTGGCGATCCAGCGTACTCAATTGGATCTTGATAAACTAAGCAGCATATAATCTGCAACAATGGCATTGCTTCAGGGTCAGCGGCTGCTCCAGAGGAGCGGGATGCAGGCGAAGGTCTGCATCTTGCAGCTGCGGCAGGTAAAGTCAATTTATAATGGCGCAATAGGAGAAGATGATGTCATTGAATTCGTCTCAGTGCGCCATGCTGATGTGTTCCGCCTTGCTTCCGCTCGCCACAGGCGAGCAAGGCCAGCAGTGGCAGCAGGCGCGCTGCACGGGTGACCGCCGCCGCCACTCAGGTCGCGGAGGCGCCCGCCCCTGCAGTTGCCACCGGAGATAAGGTATGCACACAATCCCATCAACCCTGCACAGCCATTGGGCACATGCTGGCAGCATGCGTCGAAAGCGGTTTGTCACAGCGGCATGTGTGGAGGTGCCGCGCGCCTTGCATGCTGTTCCCGTCTGCATCCACCCCGCCTCCAGTATATACCTCAGAATTGCCTGACTGAGTACCCCGCTCCCTGCCGCCGACCCCGGCGCCCCCAGATCAAGGTCAGGTTTGCGCCGTCCCCCACCGGCAACCTCCACGTCGGCGGCGCGCGCACCGCGCTGTTCAACTGGCTGTATGCGCGCAAGGTCGGCGGCAAGTTCGTGCTCAGGTGCGACTGGCGGCTGCAGAAGCATGGCAGCTGTTACTGTCGTGCAGCGGGAGCAAGCGGGTCGCTTTTTGTGGGCGGGTGCTTTTTGGGTTAAGGTTTGAGGTTGTTGTTGAGTCGGCGAGGCGCCGGCACGGCTCCGGTGTCGGCCGGTGTCAGCCGGCTTGATGGTGGGTATGATGGGAGCTCACTGGCACTGGACGTCATCGGTGTGTGGCGGGGCAATATGGTCGTTAGCGCCGGGCATATCGCAACTGCTGCCAGCTCATGCGATATGAGGGGCCTCGTGCTAGCAGCAGGCCCAGAGGCTAGGACAGCTGTTGGACCGGCCCCGTCGCTCCTCTATCAGCATATGTGGCAGCTGAATCACCGGTTCCGCCACCCAGCGGCGGTGTCCCAGCCCAGCATTGGGCGTCCCATTTCCTCTTGAGGCAGGCTGCCAGCATCAGACCCCGCGCGGCTGCGGCTGCTTCTTGAGGCTGCTCATTGCACTTCCGCGGCTGTTGCAGCACCAGCCGATTAACCTGACTGGAAGCAGCTGTTGACGCACATGCCGCACCCTACTCAGCAGACACACGGCTCCACATGAGACGGCGGTCTTGATTATCCCACTCCCACAGCAACACACGCCATCCATCCTGCCTGATCCATGCATCCTTCACTTTGACGGCGGCATCCTATCCGCGCACTGTGTCAGGGTGGAGGACACCGACACCGCGCGCAGCACGCGTGAGAGCGAGGAGGCGATGAAGGAGGACCTGCGGTGGCTGGGGCTGGACTGGGACGAGGGTGAGGTTCCGGACTGGACTGGACTGGGGAGCGATGGGGGCGGTCGGACTGCAGGGTGCATGGCTCGGCTGGGCTGGGTTTGCAAAGGAGAGATAGGGGTGGGTGGAGGAAGGTTGCGGGACATTGGATGGATTGCTGGGCATTTTGGGCTGGGGGAGGCTTCAGGGCAGAAAAGAGGAAGGAGGGCAGGGTCATTGCAGGGCTGTCTGGTGGCGGCAACTCTGCTCAACGCAATGCCGAAACGGCGCTGCTGCCCAGCTGGGAAGGGCCGAGCGATTTTGGGCTGGGTGGGGGCCAGCCAGCTGGCAGGCCTGGTGTGCCCGGTCATGACGCCGCCCAGCCGATGTTGGAGAAGACAAAAAGTCGCTGTGGGCCGATTGCGCATGAGGCATGACACGCGCGCCTCCTCGTCTTCCCTCCAAGGGCCGGACGTCGGCGGTGACAACGGGCCGTACCGCCAGTCTGAGCGCGCCCAGATCTACAAGGAGTACGTTGACCAGCTGGTGGGTGTCACCAATGGGGTTACTCGCGGGTCACACCGCTGCCGGCAGCGAGTTAGGGAAAGGCTGGCCACGCGGTTGCGCTGCACCAGCCCCAGCAGACGGCCTCAATCTGCCGGGCAGCGACGACGAACGGAGTCCTGGCGGCCCAGTAATGAATGAGCCCTTGAGATTATGCCCTGGGCTTTGGCGCAAAAGCAGCATGGCATCGGCGTGTGCGGATTGATGTGATCAAACATGTGTCTGCTGCTCACCCGGTGCCACAGGTTGCCAAGGGCGTGGCGTACCCCTGCTTCTGCACTGATGAGGAGCTTGAGGCGATGAAGAAGGAGGCGGAGGAGAAGAAGCTGCCGCCCATCTACAGGTGGGGATTGGCGCATGCATGCAATTGTGTGTGTATGATGGCGAGTGTGTGGGAGTTCGTCGCGTGCGTGCGTGCGTGCAGGGTGTGCGTGCAGGGTGTGCGTGCAGTGCGCTGCTGTGCGCCAGTAGTCAGATTGCCGCGAGTAGTCAGACCGTGTGCTTGATTTTTAGCTCCTCAATTTAGCCCCAATATCCATGCTTCTCTTACACCTTGTTTTCACAGGGGCAAGTGGTCCAGCGCCAGCAAGGAGGAGGTTGATGCTATGCTGGCCTCAGGGGCGACCTGCTGCTACCGCTTCAGGGTGCCGCCGGGCAAGGAGATCTTCATCGACGACATCGTGCGCGGCCGCGTCACGTGGAACACGGGTGGGCGGGGGCGGAATGGGGGCACACACATGCAGGCGCAACGGAAGTGGCCGAGACTGGGGAAGACGCGGTTCCATCTTGATGATCCGGAAGCACAGGCTCCCTGATTTGCAGAAAGGGGCTTGGTTGTGGTATTGAATCCACGTTGTAGTCGCAAGGGGCATGAAGCGTGAGGGATGACGATTTTCCCGGCGCGAGAACAGCGGTGGACAGCGCCTCCTTTTGCCGCGGGCTGGCGCGAAGGGCCGCCATATGCCAGCTCTGGAGCAGGCGCGGCGTTGGGGAGGCGCTCGCCATCACAAGCTCCAGCGCCCCCCGAGCACCAGCCGTGCCCGCTACCTGAGACATGCCCTGCGGCCAGCTCAGCCCCGCGCCCACGCACGCGCCAACACACACTCACTCTGAATACACACGCACACTTGCGCAGACACGCTGGGTGATTTCGTCATCCTCCGCTCCAACGGCCTGCCGGTCTACAACTTCTGCGTCGCCATCGACGACGCGCTCATGGGCATCACCCACGTGCTGCGCGCCGAGGAGCACCTGCCCAACACGCTGCGCCAGGTGCCTGTCGCGCGGCCGGGGTTGTTTGCCTGCTGAGGCCACTGCGGCGGCGGGGGTGGTGGGGCTCTCAGTGCAAGTGGTCAGGCTGGAGCCCGGCTGCCGCTTCGATGCGTCAGTTGGCTTGCAGAAGCTGCCTGCTCTTGGGCCAGCCGACCCCTACACCACATTTGCCCCCCACTTGACCCATCGACCCCGCCTCAAAACTCCCTCCCAGCCACTTGCGAGCCCTTATAGTTACGAGCTGGAGCACTCACTCACCACTGCCCTCCCCTCGCAATTTCCAGGTCCTGATCTACCAGGCCCTGAACTTCACGCCCCCTGCCTTTGGCCACATGAGCCTCATCCTCGCGCCCGACAAGAGCAAGCTCTCCAAGCGCCACGGCGCCACCAGCGTCGGCGAGTTTAAGCAGCAGGCGCGTGCGGCGCTGCGCGGCACGGGGAATGGGGGCGCCGGGTTGCGTCGGCTGCCTGCGGCAGCCCCTTGCCTGCGGCAGGGCGGCGTCGCAGGGCTGCGTTCAGGGGTTGCTGAGCATCTTCAGGCACCTGGCTATCATCGTCGCTGCCCCTTTTTGGGTGGCGGGGCCGCCCCCTGCAGTCTTCAGCCACTCGCGCCTCCTCCGTCGCCGAAACCAAGCACGGCAATCCCCCGCTGCTGCGCTCAACCTCCGCACGTGTCCGACACGCGCGCGATGCAAGGCCATTGTACTACCACATGAGCAAAATTACACCCGCCCACAACCGCCCTCAAATGCCCCGACTGGCCCCATCTGCAGGGCTTCCTGGCCCCCGCGATGGTCAATTACCTGTCGCTACTGGGCTGGAACGACGGCACCGAAAAGGAGATATACAGCGTGGACGAGCTGCAGACCGCCTTTGCCCTCGAGCGCATCACCAAGGTCGGCGGTTTGGGGCGGTTGGGACCCAGGGTTCATGGTCATGGTTTGATTGCAGCCTGGGGCTGATCAAGGGGGCCGAGCCTGAGCCGGGCGGGGCGCTTGGGTTCGAACGTGCTCGCCGGGCGCTCGCAGCTTGTCGCGGCAAGCATCCCTGGCGCCCTGCCGGCAACAGCAAGCGTAGGGGGTGCCGTTTCTGGTTCGTCGAAGCCACTCCGGGCCCCCGCGGCTTCCTACAACTAATGGATCCTGCTTGTTGCACGCCTCCTGCGCAGTCGCCCGCCGTGTTTGACCGGGTCAAGCTGTCCTGGATGAACGGCCAGCACCTGCGCGCTCTGCCCGAGGAGGAGCTGCTGGGCCGCATCGGGGCCGCGCTGGTCGCTGACGGCGTGGTGACGTCACCGGACAGCGCGTTCGCAAAGGCCCTGGCTGGGCTGGTGAAGGGCAGCGTGGAGCTGCTGACGGACTGCGCCGCTCAGGTGAGTGTGTGCGTGTGCTCGCGAGTGTGTAGGTATGTGTGTGTGTGTGTGTGTGTTTGCATGTGTTGTGTACTTTTGTTGTGTGCGTGCGGGCGGCGATTGATTGTCTGATGGGGCTGCGCGGTTACCAGTAGTTCCCGCCCTGCTGGGCTCCGCTCAAAGAACGGGTTTCGCAGCCAGGCGACACACAAGGTGTGGGGGCCGAGCATGCCCTGCTTGCCCCGCATGCATGCACCTTTGTCTCGTGATCGCCGCCAACCATTCTTTCGGGGCCCTCCTCCCCTCGAGCGCTGCAGGCGCGGCCGCTGCTGTCCTACCCTCTGGCTGAGACCGTCGCCTCTGAGGAGTTCAAGCCGGTGGGTTTTCTATACTCGCGTCCACCAACCAGCCTGCAGGTTCTTTTGGAGTCCTGTCGGCTGCATCTAGACGGGCGGTCGGCGCCGGATTCGGCAGCAGCTGCGGCAGGATACGCGGCAGGGCGCCCAGCCAGTTGCATGCACCGGCCCCTACCCGCCCGCTCTCTCGGTTTCCGGATGTCGGTGCTTGTGACTGCGCACATGCTTCAAAACACACCTGCGTGACGCCCCGCCAAACATGCTTGTCAAACACCCAGTTCCTGGAGGACAACTTTGCTGAGGTGGCGCAGGCGGTTGTGGCCGCCTCCGACAGCGGCGAGCTGGCGGCCGCTGTGGCCGCGGGCCACGACGGCTACAAGAAGTGGGTCAACTCAGTGGGCAAGGCGCAGAAGCGCAAGGGCAAGCGGCTGTTCATGCCCATGCGCGTCGCGTTCACGGTGAGCATCTTTTTGCCCGCTGCGGTGCGGGGCTGAGGGTTGGAGAACATGCATGGTGTGCTAAGCGGGCCGGTCGGCGTCATGCCGCAGCCCAGCTGCAGGCTGCTAGCCCCGAATGCGCCGTGTCTGTCGACCAGAACAGCCTCCCCTCCCTTGTGTCGGCCCCTGCCCCGGCTTGTGACGACGCTCAATGCTTGCAATCGCGGTCGACGACGCCTAACAATGGAAACCCCCGATTTACAACCCCCCGAATGCAGGGCCGCATGCAGGGGCCGGACGTGGGCGACCTGCTGCCTGCCCTCGCCCTGGCGGGCGACGGCGACGTGGCGGAGAGCAGCAGCTTGGTGCCCCTGGCGCAGCGCGTTGAGCAGCTGCGCGAGTGGGTCGGCAAGCAGCAGGCGTGAGCGCTTTCGTTGCGCCGCACGCCCGCTGCTGGGCTGCGGCGACGGGCACGGGCTCGTTCGCGGTTTGTGAAACGAGCCCAGTTTGTGAGCTTGCTGCCCTTTTTGGGCGGCGCTTTTTTACCTTTCTGAGGGTTGGACCGCTATTTCCACAGAATTTGTAACGGCTTCAGACTGCCTGCATGATGCCTTGGCGAGCAGCCGTGCAGCGTGCGGGGACGCCGGGCGTATGACAGCAGCAGTGGCTCCAGGTGGCATAGGCAGGCTGTGACACTGTTGCTTTGGGGCACTGCCTTGGGGGGAAACACTGAGGCTGGGTGGCAGCGGTGGTAGTGGCGGCGTCAAGCCACAGGGCATCAGGGCATGATAAGAGGGAGTAGGCAGAGGCGGCAACGCATGACAGCAGGACCTGTGGGCCAGGACAAATTGCCTGGTGTGGGGGTGTCCGGCGGGGAACGGCAGGGTCATCCCCGTCAGCGGAGGACGCTACGCGCCGTCACGAACCGTATTTTGTGTTTCGTCGAGTCTGCCACGCAAAACCCGCGTTTTTCACGCATACGTGTTCCAATCACACAGCATGAGGCGTGATCGCCAACTGTTGGATCGCGTGAGTTGAATTGGGATGGAGTCCCACGCGCCTAGGGACAAGCTGGCTTTGTTGAAATCTTTATTTGTGTACCTGATGATCGCAGCTTCCGGATTTGCTCCTGCCGGCACTAGTGGTGAGGCGCAACGCTCCCGATGTCACGACTCGTGCTGCAAGTGCATGTGCGCGCATTGGGGCCACTCAAGGGCAGCACAATCCAGTTCCACACCTGCAGCAAATTGCACAATGCTCACCCCGTCATTTCAGGTAGTGTCGACATGCCGATGCTGATGCTGCAGCATCCGCCGCGCCCCGCGCGCGCTCGCCTCATGCGCCCCTTCGTCGGCGCCGGCGTCCACCACGCCGCCTTTGTGGGCGAGCCCCAGGCGTGGGCCAGCAGCAATGTGCCGCTTGTCCGTGCGGCGCTGCTGCACCTGTGGCTGCGGTGCATGTGCAGATCAGCTGATCTGGATCAAGGGCAGATCACAGATCTGGAGATCAGGGGGTTCCTTTTTGTGGAGCCGCGGAACACGCAGCACATCAACAGTCCGGCGGCGCCGCTGCTGCAGGTTGGCCAGCATTCGAGCATGGTGCAGTGTGCACACGCAATGGTATCCGAACGCGCGTCTTGGCAGCGCGAAGGCAGGCATGCACCATGCACGAGCTGCTTGTCAAAGCCCACCCTTACCCTGCTCCCCCCCATACACACACACACCCCACACGACCCCGCGCCGCGCCATGCTGTGCGTTTTATTGTTTGGAACAACACAAATCCAGCGCACGCAACTGCGTGACCCCAATCCTGTCGTCGCACTGCCGAGCAGGGATTCCACACAGAGTTCTCGCCTAACGTGACTGCAGCGCTGCCGAGCGGCAAGCGCCTGCCTTTTCTATACACGCCGCCCTTTGTGCCAGCAAATGTGCCTGCTAGTCTGAGGCTGGGGATCCCAGGTGGGGTCCTGCCATTTTTGGGGTGCCTGGCAGGCACCCCAAAAGTGGTACAGATCGGCTTTGGATGCCCCAGAAACGGTCACCTGCAAATCCACACTGCGATTCAATCCGCCAGCACCCGCCAGAGTTACAGGTCATGTGGCTGGCGCCCGCTGCATGATATCCCGTGTTTGCTCCCCAAGTCTTACCAGCCTGACGCCGTCCCCGGCTCGCTTATCGCATCCTATGATTCGCATCCGCTTATCACATCCCAACTGCAGGCAACTTCAGCGTTGGCAATGACATCACCATATCCCTAGAGGGCTGGCCGCAGTACACCCTGCTGTCCCTCGGTGATTGCACCGCCACACCCGGCGACAGCAGGGCCCGCCATCAACGGCGGCGGCGCCAGCGACCAGAGCAGGCGGCGCAGCATCAGCAGCATCAGCATCAGCAGCAGCAGCAGCAGCAGCAGCAGCAGCAGCAGCAGCAGCAGGAGGAGGAGGAAGATGAGCAGCAGCAGCAGGAGGAGGAGAAGGGCAGCAAAGAGGCCCAGCCGAAGGGCCCGCCCGTCATCATAGTGAGCAAGAACCTGTACAACCAGGACATGTCATTCGTCGCGGCCATCATAGCAGCCAGCATGGCATACCACTCACAGATTGGCGTGTCCCGCTGGTGGGCACGATTCGCTCGCGTAGCGACACGCGCGCGCGCGCGCGCTTGCCATTTATAAGGGGGGTGGGCGCCGCGATTTGGACTGCATGTGTGATACGCACGCGTAACATCATCTCGGATTCTGCCCAGCGTCTACCCGTCACACAGCCAGGCAGGATTGCGTCCTGGTGTCTGCATATGTAACCCTCACCAACTGCCAACCCTGCAGAGGCACCCTCAACCCGCCGACCCCCGCCCCGTGCCCCCCCAAAGGGAGGTTTACGTGACTAAGGCGCAGGCCACCACAATGCTGCGCAACACGGAGCTGCGGCGGCTGGCGCGGGAGGGGCGCGTCGGCTTCATCACCATCAACTCGCTGGCGCACTACCGCAAGTGCGCGGGGGATGAACAGGCGCGAAGGTCGCGGGTGGCTGGAAATCTGTGCATGTGGTGCTGTCTGCCGCGACGGTCGCCGACGCACCTCCCCCGGGGCAAGACAGTGAGGATATACGACCTGCAAATCACAAGTTAGGAACTTCACCCAAGCCACATGCACGAAGCTCTGCTTTGCTCAGGTGTCACCCACCCCTCGTCTCCCTCCCACCTGGGCCCATCAGATTCTTGTACGCCTATCAATGCATCCAGTACACCCACGCCGTGCTGACTCACTGGGGAGAGGACGTCCGCCTGCTGTTCACTGACTACGACGAGTTTGTGGCGCTGCCCCCAAAAACCTCCCTGCAGCAGTTACTCGCGCGGCACCACCACCCAGTGCTGTACCTGACGTCGCATTTTGTGTTTGACAAGCAGCTCAATGCGGGCGCCAATGAGTCGGCGGCGTGGCGAGGGGCGGCCAAGGCGGGTACGGGCGTGACAGGCTCGCGGGCGGTGGCGGCGGCGGCGGGCGCGGCCAAAGGGATGCTGCAGCTTCTGGACGGCTACTCGCTGCGGGCGGGTCCGAGCCAGGCCAAGACAAACCCCCTCGGCCAGGTCAAGGCACTGGTGGATCCAAACGTGGTCGACCAGGTGTGCTCAATTCAGTCATGAGGGATTTGAGCTCGTTCACTTCACGCCTGCGGCTGGGACAGTACAGTACAGCCAACCGCAGGCGTTGTGTTGCTACAACATCTGCCATGTCAGTATGGCGGTCGAAGCCGGCGTGCCGCTGTCCTGTCCGCAGCCAGCCATTTCCGCGCCGCTCTCCGTCAAACGCCGGTCGGCGCCCCGCCGCCCCTCTTCTGCCTTCCCACCTCTCAGATGTTCATCCACACTGCCCACACGTTCGACCCGCGCGGCGAGAGGCGCTTGCCGAGGGAGGAGGCGTTCATTGCAGAGGTCTACAACATATTTCAGCACAGGTGAGGGGCTGAACGCAGCCACCGGCGCCTTTCTTACCCCTCTGCAATGCTGGTGTGGGCTCCAGCAAGGCCGTGTGGGCGTCTTGGCTGCTCAGGGGCCTGAGAAGGGCACTGACTGAAGCTGATGATGAGCGCACACAGGGGGGGGGGGCGGCGGTTGCTCAGCCTGCTGCAACGCCCTTCCCTGCGTGCCGCAGGCTGGCGGCCGGCGCGGATGCCGTGGAGGATACGGGGTGGCACTGGGCCGCGGAGGCCGCGGTGGCTGACCTGGCGCAGAGGGTGGCCCGCAGCGACGAGGCCGGGGCCTCCCCGGCGCTGGAGGCGTCGTCTGCTGCGGCTGTGTCTTCGCCGGTGCCGGTGCAGCTGCGCCGGCTGCTGGGCTGGGTCTATCGTGCTCTGAAATTGTAATCGACAGCCTCTCATATGCGTGGCTCATGTGCGCGGCGACCATTTGGGGGTCCTGAAACACTGCCATGATGCCACAGTCATTGCAACAACAAACGCCGTAGTCGGCCATTGGCAGTACAGCTTGGCTCTGCTGGACTCTTCACATGCACATGGTGGGGCAAGTCATTTGACGCCCTATTTCAATGAAATCAGCCCCTGCACCACCCCAGGCAACCTGTGCCTGTATGAAGCTGCCCACCTGCACGGGGGTGCTGGGGGGTGCCCGGCTGCGCAGGCCTGCTGGGTGAGACAAGAGCTGAGCTGCACACTGTCGGGGCGCGGCTTGAGTCCTTTATCAGCTATTTCCCTGCTCCTCGCTGTAGTTGTTTCTTTTGTGCAGCAACCCCGGCAGCAATCATCCCGGTTCCCTGACGGTCTTGCAGGTTGCAACAGGCACCGGGCAGCACCTTGAGAAGTAGCAAACAGGGAGCCGCGAGCAGGTGGGGCTTGAGAGACGGATGATGAATTGCCTGTGTCAGGTTGTCAGCGCTCCTAGTTGCTCGACGGGGATCTGGGCGGTGTGAAAGACCGCACGCAGGAACCTGGCCCACTTTGCAGGTCTGGTTTGATCTTTCAAACGACAGCTCACGCTGCTGCTTACATGCATAGCCAGGGAAGGCCACGCAGCAGCCCAAACCGCCAGGGCGACTGCCTCGGTGCAGTACCTGGTCCTGCAGGCGTGCGCCAACTGCACCCGCGCACGCCCTTGCCCCTGCGACAGCCATGGCGACTGGCGGCTGGGGTTACTCGGTCAACCCCTTTGCACAAGGGGGATCTGCGACAGCGCCACCCGCGCCTGCGGAGGAGGCCCCGGTGCGCACGCGGAACAGCCTGCTTCTTTCTGCGCTGTGTTTGTGATGGAGGCATGGCTAGCTGTTTTTGCTTTGATCAACAAGCTGTTTGGCAGCCAACCAACATGGATTATTGAACACCTTTTGCCATCCTGGCTGATCGCAGCGCCAACAAAATGCGTTCGGCGCCTGGGGCGGCGGCGTCGGCACCGCTGCGCCCGCCCCGGCGGCGTCCCCCAAGCCCAACGCGCTCGCGGCGGCCTTCAACATCGCGCCGGGCGGCGGCGGCGGGGGCGGCGGCGCGGGCGGCGGGAACCTGGCGCAGCGGGAGGCGGAGCTCGCGCGGCGAGAGGCTGAGCTGGCGCGGCGGGAGGCGGCGCTTGCGCAGATTGCCGAGAACTCGAAGCCCAGTGTGAGCGCTTGGGCGGGCGGTGCCCGGTCTCCGCTGACGGTGGGGGAGTTGTAGCTCTGCTTCAGCTGCGTTTCACGAGGCCATGGAGGATTCACCTGCAGAGACTCCTGGCAGCTGCATCCTTGCAGGGCAGCGGCCTCGCTCTGCACTCCTTTTGCTCGCACTAGGCCAAGCCGACCCCTCGCACCTCAACCTTCCTCTATCCTCCTTGTTGCATCTCGCCGTGCGCCCGCAGAACTTCCCGCCGTTCTGCCCCTTCATGTACCACTCCATCTCTGAGCAAATTCCTGCCTGGAACCGTTCCATGGTGGGCCAGGGGCTCCCTGGGTGGTGGTGGTTGGCGGGCAGTGGTGGTTGGCGGTTGTGGGCGGTTCTGGGTGGCGGGTCGTGGCAGGCTGCATCGATCGTGGGATCTCCAGGCCCCGGCGCAGCGGCGGTCGTGTGCAGGACCAGCAGGAGGATTGAAAACGGCAGCAGGAGCACGCTTGCGACCCGTCAGAGTCAGCAGTGCTTCAGCCAACACCCTTGCAGGGGTTCAGAGAGCACGCGCTTATGTCGGTGAAGCGTTCATCCCGTATCCATCAATACACAAAACTACAGTGGTTCCGACCCGTCGGTCCCTCGGCCACAACTATCTCGTTTACTTTGTGTGCCCCTCCTCTCTCTCTCTCCCTCTCCCTCTCTCTCTCTCTCTCTCTCTCTCTCTCTCTCTCTCTCTCTCACACACACACACACACACCACCTCGCCACTGTGTCGATCTCACCGCCATGACGCCCCCCTTCCCCTCCATGTGGCCCCCTAGATCCGCTTCACCTTTGTGATCGAGCTGCTGGAGATCCTTGGTGCGTGGTGTTGATGCGGGGCAAAAGCAGAGTCATTCGGGACAACAGTACAGTCACGCGGGACAACAGCAGAGAGTGTGTACGTGGGGGGGGGGGAGTGCGCCAACCAAACTCTCCAGTGGCCCTTCCCCAACCGTACGCCTCGCATCCACCCCACACCCTTGACCCCACCTCCTGCGCAGCACACCGAACAGGCAGCTACC